TATAATATCTTTTCCATGTTAAATATATAACAGAAAATTAAACTATTAATTAATACTAATACTATTACTAATACTATTAATTTATATTCATCAAATAGTATCATTAAATTAATAAAAATTTGGTCAAAATCCTTTTTTAATAACAAAAAAACAGATGAAAGTTTACAATAGATTCACATAATATTAACTATATGTACAAGAAAAAAAAAAAAAAAGGAAAAACGATAAAGAACAGCAAGAATTAATAAAAAATGAGATGCAGAAATTATAAATATAGCTATTTTACAATAATGATTAAAATCACTTGAGACTTGATTTAATTAATTTTATTTGTTTATTATTTTTTTCTATTTATCAATATACTATCGCGATAATTTTTACATTGAATATCAAAGACAATATCTCACTTTTAGCAATTATTATTTATAATTATTGGTATTCAATAATTATTAAGCAATTCATTTATGTATTCTCTTTGTTTTTTCATGTAAATCTCTTTTAAAGATAACTTCTAAAAATATCTATTAAATTATAAATATCTACAAATTATGCAAGAAAATAGAAACGATGTACAAAATTATAAAAATGTTAATAGGAGAGCAACCTGAATGTGCTGAATACTCGATTAAAATGAAACGCATGAATATTTATCGTAAGTCAATGATAATTAAAATATAATTTAACTTTTTACAAAGCAATGACAAAGACCATGTAAACCATTTCGTATTAAACTTAAATACAACTTTAGATTCAAAAGAATTCATTTCTAAAATTCATTTCAATTCATTTTAATACAATTTAAAAAAAATCAAATTCCTATTTTTTGAAATTGAAAGCTCCAAAAATTAAAAGTTACAAGCGCAAAAACTACTTATTCCTGATGTATTTCTGATTTATCATTCTTTATAGATTATGCACTCGTAAAATTCACAGTTTATAACTTTCTATATAAAATCATAATTATAATAAACTAATTATAATTATAAGAGACTAAATATAATTATTTTATTATAATCTATCACTATTGCATCATTATAACTGATGCTTAACGCTTAACATAAGGACTTATAGACTCATCTTCTTTCTTGATAGCTTGCACAAGCGTCAGCGACAGCACTGCTATGATTACCTGCAATTATCATTTATAATTAGACGAAAGATAGAAGAAAAGTAATAGGAAACAATAAAAATTGTTATTTATTAAATATAATGAAAGAAAGCTAGAGAGAAAGAGAGAGAGAGAGAGAGAGAGAGAGAGAGAGAGAGAAATTACAATTAATAAAATTACAAATAATAAAATTAGTCAAATTACAAATTTTCAAAACGTTTAGTTCTTAAAGAATAATAAAGAAAAAGAAAAGAAAAGGTTTCGTCTCTTACATGAAGCATACACAACGCCATCGCCATACCGGCAAGCCATCCTGATCTCGCCTCTAGAAACCAGGACAATTCTTCTACGCAACCATGATGGAAAGCATTCCCAGTGACAGTGTCCCGGCATTCGGTGGGCAATGGTTTACGCATCTGTGTGTAATCTCTTGGTCCGTCAGCTCCGCAGCATCCGACCTAATGCATTCGTCAAAAATAAATACACATAATCGTACTCTTATGAAAATAAAAATCGGAGCGTAAATCGGATGTAATGGAAGGCGAAAATTGGAACAATGAAATGTAAAAGAAGCATTTACACTTCTTTCACATTTTGATGTTTCAATTTTCACTTTTTAGAAGTTTCGTTTACGCTTTTGTTACTCTCCCATTACATTCGATTTACGCTCCGGTTTTTATTTTCATCAGAGTAATAAATAAAGACGCTCTTTTTTTCCTCTGATAGAAGAGTTCAACGTTTACTTACAGTTTCCTGGATTACTCGCAGAATGAAGCTCGCCGTTTCATGATGGGAATTACTGATAAGACTGTACATGGACCGTTCGATGATAGGCTGAATCTTACTGTCGTACGTTGAATAATCAAGAATGACTGCCGCTCCGGTTAAACAACAAATGAAGCTGAACGCTTGCAGACCCACATGCTGAAATTAATTATAAAAGTTTTTTCATACAAATTTCTATTACATTTTTTATAATAGCGAGAAAATTATTATTAAATAGTTCCCAAAAAAATTGTTTATAGAACATTGAAAATAAATATTTAAATTAAAAGTTAAATGAGGATCGAGAGGGAATATACTTTAAAGAAAGTCTTAAAAATTCTGTTATCTTAATATCTTAATTTGTAGGAAACATTTTTTAGACAATATATGTCATTAATAAGTAATTGAATTAAATAATCAAAGATTATTAAGAAGGATTAATTTACGGCAAAAATGAAAATTAAAAGACCTTTATTTTTTCTGAGATATATATATACTAATTTATCATTTGCAAAAATCAAATCCTTAAGTATTTTGCAAATTTCTTGCAGTTGTATCTGCAAAGTATCTTTATAAGTATATCTGCAAAATGTATTTGTAATTTTCTCCAAAATACTCCAAAATTTGGATGAAAAATTTTCTTTTAATTTTCGTACGAATTAATTATTCAGACATTATTCAGAAATATTCGTAAAATTTATATCTTTTCTTAGAATTTTTCATATGCGAATTCTGAGATTTTTCATCTCATAATTTTTAAAAAATATTTTGAAATTTTTTAAATTTTATAATATTTTATCAGAAATTATACAAAACAATCTTAGAAATCATACGATATTTCATAATTAACATATATGAAAATTTCTGAGAAAAGATGTAGATTTTCTGAGAAGTGTTCCAATTCGTATAAAAAATGTGAGAAAGTTATAAACTTATATAGAAATTTTGAAAAATTATAAAAAAATTCTAAAAGAAAAATTTTCAGAAATGCTAAGCCAATTAATAAGCATTACAACATATCAACAGTTCTTACAACATATAAAGTCATGATGTGTTCCATAAGCGCGGCAGCGCAGCCGATGAAAGCAATGGCCATGACAAGCACCGAGGTAGCGATTAGCAAGTAAATTCCGATATAGAACTCGTACATGTTCAAAAACTCCACCCACTCCTCGAACATCGGCTCGAACCGCATCCAAATTGACAGTCCGAACATTGCGCATCCCACGATCTTTCGCCAAATGACAAGAACTTAATTGTACGATAAATAATGGTGTAGCAACAATAATTCTTTCAATGAAAAATCTCTCAAACTTCTTATATTAATCATAATAGCGGAATAAAATTGTATTTTTTAAAGACTATTAAATTAATTGTAAAATTTATTAATGAAACAAATGATGCTTAAATAAAGATTGTTCTTCTCTTAAAAAATAATATGAATTAAAGTTTTATAAATCGCTTGGATATTTAATTTTATAAACTGCTCATTCAATCTTCATGAATTCTATTGTTTTTTAAAATTATCAATAAAAAATTTATATGTCAAATTTATTTATAATATATGAAAACAATAATTTATAATCGTGAAGCATTATTTTTTCTCCAATTTTTTAATTTGACTTTAATTTCTTCTTGTAACAAAATTAAATATAATCTATCCTTTAAAGAATTTTTCATCATTGAGAAATAAAATTAGATAGTTTCAAAAGATAACAAAATTATTTAATATATTAATCTGTGTTTTATACATATATCTAAAAGAATGTAATTTATTACGAAGACAAATTTTCATTAAAGGAAAACATTCGATCCTTCTATCGAGCAAGAATAGAAAGGGATTCATGTTTTATGAAACAAATTCTCAATTTAGAAAACTGTTATATCCATTATTACTACAAAAATCTTGCTTCCTTTTTTCGATTCACAATTATCATTTAATACAAACTGCTTTCATTCACTCTTTTTCATTCGTACATTTTTTTCAATTAATACCTAAAATAAATCGTAATATTATTTCATTATCACGATATAATTTCACAAGTCAATGTAATTATCGCGATAAAACCACGCACACCCACCCATATTATTGCGTTTAAACAGAAAATCGTGAACTTAATGCAGCCGATCCGCTTCTCGAGAGTCGGTCCGGAACTCTTGGCGACCATCTCCTTACGTCCTGCGGAAGATATCCTCCGTCGCGAATTCACGTAAAGAAGACGACTATTTCGGTGTGACGCGACAAGAATGTAATTAGTCAATCTAGAACGTCGACAGGTACCAGAGTATCATCACCTAACGTTCCGACGGTTTATCACTAGCAAATATAAGATAAGTGGATAAGAGCGTCCTAGATAAAGATATAACGCATAAGGTGAATCATTTCATTCACGATATGTGTAACAGTAAATTATTAGTATGATTATTATTAATCAGATAAGTATTACCATGATATCCATTTCATTGTTCTTTTAATTTCTTCTAAACATTTAAATCTCCATCAAAAAGTCATGTACATTGTGAATGTAAATGAAATAAAAATCAGAAATCACATATTATTAAATTTACGATAAAGAAATTGAAATTAAACTCTTTGAAAATCTTTATTATAATCAAATTTTCAAAATTACTGATACATAAATTGTTGTTAATATATAATTATTTTAAAATGTAAAGAGAAATTACATAGTTTATATGCTATATCAGATATATATTTATTTTATTATACAATATTCCTTACAAAATTAACGATTACATAAAATATAAGACATACTGGATTAATTTGTGCATCGCGAAATAAAAAAAATTAATAGAAATCTTCCTCCGTGGCTTTCGATACTGGAGTTTTATTTTTTATCTGTTCTTGATTATTGTACATATTTGCCACGTCTTGAGCGGAAGTGGCCTGCTCGCAGGTCTTATCCTCGCGGATCCTGATAAATCGCGGAAACCTTAAAGATATTCCCTTTTCCGGATCAACCTGAACAAAACAAAGATAAAATATACATATAAAATCCGTTTCTTTGAATTAAAAAAATATTTATTGAACTAAAAATTTCAAAAAAATTAATTGCAGGAACATGTTCTCTATTATCTCTATTTAATTAACCGATAGAAAAAACATACAGCATATTCCATGTATGTAATGTACGCATAATGCAAACTGTTCGATGCGAATAAAAGATTTCCGGAAACGAAATAAATTATTGTCATGCAATATGAATTTGTTTTAGTGTAATTACGGTGAATTATATTTTTATTATATTTTTATGAATATTCGTAATTTACTCGTCTTTGAAAACCTAGGAAACTTACTATTCCGATAGCCGCTCTGTGTACAGGTGAGAGGGAGAGATCGGCACATTTGATCTCCCAAACTTGAACTGGCTCAAACCAATGATCCGGCTCATGGCTGCTATCGAAGCGATAATATGATTTGGCCTGTGATACAATGTGATCTTTGAAGAATTTGGTATGATTTTCGAGATCATCTTCCTTGAATCCCGTACCGATCTGTTTACGAAGAAATAATATGTATATCAATAGTAATAGTATCAAGCAAAAGAAAAATATAATACGATAGTAGAAACTTAATTATAAAAATCACCAAATGCTTTATATATTTAAAAAAAAATATCTTAATAAAAATATTATACATAGAAATATCTATATATATGGACCAAATTTCCAATATTATACATCTCTGTTTACTTTCACAAAGTCAAAGAAATATTTCAAAGACATACCTTACAAATGCTCTGATACTCTTCATTTTCCAGATCATAACAAGCTAAGAGGAAACCACCATAAGTGCCGGTCCTCTTTCCTTTGCCGATATAACCACCGATTACAACTACATCGAGTGTATCACCGACACCATCCAAATAGTCCTTTTTCAGCTTCAGCCAGTTTCTCGATCGCTTCGCGATTTCATAGGTCGCCTCCTTTTCCAACGTCTTTACCATTAAACCTTCGCAATTTCCCTTCACAGATTCGTCCAAAAAAACTTCCACCTCTTCCATCGTCGAGGCATCTAAATTATTAGCAAATTTCCATTCACCTTCCACTTCCTTGAAATGCTGTTTCAACAACTCACGACGTTTCACGAACGGTTCCTTCACCAATGGCTCATCATTTAGATATAACAGATCAAACATAAACACACATACTTGTACTTTAATATCCTCCTCATTAGCATCCTAAGAACAAAAATAGAACATTACTGTAGAAATTGTCATCACTATAATTTTAATAACAATTACAGTCATTTAGTGACAATAAAATTATGTGTAATAATTACAATCAAAATAATTAAAATTATAAATAATAACACCTGTAATTACTACCTTTCGCTTTCTTGTACTGAGTATTTGGAACGGTAAAATTTGTTTCTTCTCGCTATCCCAAGCGACCGCCTCGCAATCCAATATACAATTCTTCACCTCATCACCGCGACTATTCTTGAATCGCTTAATGATATCTGGATATTTGGTAGTATTGTCCTCCTGATTTCTACTGTATATTTTTATTTGATCATCGTCCGCAACATGTATCTGCCGAATTGTAATTTTTTAAACGACTTGAATCTAAATTACTAAGTTCTCAGTGAATTTTCAAGTTCTATGTGCAATAAAATATTTTCTATCATACTATAAAATTTTCAAAGTTACATGTGTGAATAAGAACCTGAGCTCTTTCCCCATCATATTTCCATTCACAAGTAAATTTCAAACCCTCAAATCGCATTAGAACTTCTTGAACACCTTTAGTAGGATGTGCTAACATAGGTTTCAAGGGTATTCCAGGAGTAAGTTTGCATTTGTTCGGCAAGGTATTAATTCCATCTTCCAGCAAAACAGGAATTATAAGATTATAATTCGGACATTCACTGCAAAAAAGATATAAGATTAGCGAAAAGAAAGAGAAACTTAATTGAATATTAATCTTATTTTTAAATTAAGAAATAAAATTTCTAATAAAATTTCTAATAAAATATTTATTTTAATAA